AAGAGTAAAAATCATTTTGAAGAAGCTGAAGTTTTCAGATTATGCCAACACATCATTATCAGCTTTTAATCGATTAATCACAAATCCGGTGTTTGGCTAATTTTCTTTTCACGATTGATTATGAGCCAAAAAATGGAATTCCCAGCCTTATTCAAACAGGCACTTACAAGTTGAGAACGCGTTAAAAATATAGCTTTTTTCTCCCAAAAAATACCTTAATAGTTGACGATGATCTTAAAATTGACTATTGTTTCATTTATTAACGAGAGCATAGAAAGAAGATTGTATAAATCAACAAAGGATGCTCTCAAAATGATCACGCCCCGAAAAAAAAAAAAACAAAGAAAAGAAACAACATAATGGAAGGAGTTTCTTGTCGTGACTGTTTAACGAGATAAGTTTTGGATATCTCACCTCAGACTATAATCTTTAAAAGAATTTTTTGTCTCGGGGAACAAAAATGCCTCTTTTCATTTGTTTCGCCATCTTCCAATTAATCTCCATTTCTCGTGAAGTCATCGTGGGATTCAATTAGGAAAAACATAATTTTATATTTTTGTATTTTGCTCAAGTTTTGATGTAGACTTATTTATGTGAAGGGGTTTAAACATCAAAAAATAAAAATATAAAGATTTAAAATATTAAAAAAATGTAAAAACTTATAATAAATGTGAGTAAAGTAAAAGAATTTAAAATTATATTTTTATTCAACTATTATTGTGATCTAATTATTGCATTGCCGTTGATGAAAGCCAAAAAAATAGAATGGAAACGTCACAGTTATTTACAGATAAAATGTAAGCCACCATTTTTTTGCTATAAAAAGTTATATTATTGATTGAATTAAGGCATACAAAACATCAAAGAGCTTATAGATCAAATACCAAACTGATGGACCCAAAAAAAAAAAAAAAAAAAAACGCAAAAAGATAGCAAGGCTTGAGTGTTTGAGGACAATTATCTCCATGCTCCCCATTGTCGTACTACAATGCCACTTTCCAACGCAAGACAAACGGTGGTGGTCGTATCATGTATGACACGCTGTATCAAAGACCAGCCCCGTATAAGTCAAAGATCATTTTCTAATCATAACTATTGACAAAGACAAATGGGGATTTGGAGTAAACCAAAAAAAACAAAAAAATGCAAGGACTAATATTAAAGTTACATGGATTAACAATTATATTTCAACAATTTCCACCAAAAAAAAACATTACCCTATTTTAAATTCTGAAACATTTATAAAATATTAATGTTTCAAAATATAAAAGACTTGAGAAGATCAATGCTTCACTAAATATGGTTATTTTAATGTTATTCTTTTTTTAATAAGAATAATATTACTCCTTTCTTTTTTTTTATTTAATTTCCGTCGCTCTCTTTCTCTTCAACATTCCTGTGATGTTATTTACAGTGTAGAGAAAAAATACTTATTTTAATTTTATTTATAAGGTAACTTAATGACTAGTATATTTATCCTTATTATCTTGTCCCTATTAAATGTGCAAAAATTTATTAAATGTTAAAATATTTTATTTAAAGTAAGTATATTTAATAAAAATAAAGTTAAAATTTTCAGGAAAAAAAAAAATTTAAAACTTGTTGAATTTTTAAATAAAATTAACAAGAATTAAAATTTTTCTTACTTCCAATAAAATGTTAAGAGTAATTTATAAATAAGACAAGGTATAATACATTAAATGAAGAGTAATTTTGACAGATTATATTTTTATTGTTTTAAAAATAAAATTATTAAGTATATTTAATAAATTTACTATTATATAAAATTTTATTTAAAGTATTTCATAAAATATATGAAGTATTTTTTTTAAATTTTTAGCATTCATATTAATGAAAATGGAATTATCATTGATTGCCGTGTCCTGCGATGCCATTTCCCCCATTAATTACGTAACGGCATTGCCTAAAAGGAGCATAATCTTGTTGGAGACCTTAAAAATTAAAACAGAAGTTTTTTTTTTTTAATAATCTTTGAGTCCTTCAATTTTTAACTCACTTATAACTCAGTCCTTCAATTATGACTCGCTGGGACTCAATCTCTCAACTATAACTCACTGCAACTCAGCAACTCAGTCCCTCAACTTTTGATTTACTTATAACTCGGTTGTCATTTTTAAATTTTTTTATCAAATAAGAGAGATAAAAAAATATTCATATATTATTTTAAAATATCCTCTTCTTATTCATTAATGTAAGATATAAGCTAACATAAAAAAGTTAACAAAGGTTAAGAGACTAATTTGTAAGTAATTTAAAAATTAAGAAATTAATTTATAAGTGAGTTATAATTGAGGAATTGAGTTACAAATGATTTAACAATTAAAAAAAAATTAAATGATTGATTTATTTTTTTAATATCTGATATCGGAGATGGTTTCACGCCATCTTTCTTAAATTCTGCTTCCTGCGGGGGTGCGATGCTACCCCTACATCGAACATAGAGGAGCTATTATTAAATTTGAAATGGAAAAAATGGATCGATCTGCTTAAACAAGCAAAGATGGCTAAATTTACTATCCCAGATCCTAATTTTTCAGTGTGTGTGTGTGTGTGTGTAATATTTATTTGAGTAGGCAAAAGTCAAAACATGTGCAGGCTGACCATCACACAGTACATATCGAGTGTATTAAAGCAATAGCAGGGAGAGCAATTAATTTCCTCCCACCAGAGAATTTGGCTCAAAAGCGAATTCTTTTCAAAACTTCCAGTCAATTTCTTATCCGAAAATTCACTTGTCAGTCTTGTGATTTTGTCACGACCCAGTAAGCAGATATTTTTCAGTGAGCGTCTGCTGGGAGATATTAATAAAAAAGTATTCTCTCCCTCCCACAATCTAAAATATATTTTTAAAATTTTATTTAATTTAAAAGTATATAATATTAAAAAGTTTTTATAATTATTATTTTAATTATATTTTTATTTATTTATTACTTTTTTTAAAAAATATCTTTTTCAAATCACTTAAAAGTTTTACTTGATTCAAAATATAGTAAATTAAATAATTTTTATAATTATTTTTAATTATATCTTACTTTATTTATTTATTTTTAAATAATGTAATAAAATTTTAACTATTATTACTAAAGCACTTATGCATAATCTTTAATGAGGATAAAATTAAAAAGATGTAAATTTTTTTTAAAAAATTAAGGCTTCAAGTGATATTTTTTTGATAACCATAAATTAGTTATTAATAACTTATATTTTGATTAGAAGAAAGTACAATATTAAGAAACTTATTATAATTGAACAAATTTATATAAATTTTTTAAGAGATTAATATTTTTACAGTTTTTTTAAAATCATAAATTAATTATTAATACTCCATATTATAATCTAGAGAGAGTAGATATCTGCCTAAACTATAGGGAGGATTATAGTTAAGTCTTAAAATATTAAATTAATAATAGTTAAGTTTTCAATAAAAATTTTTACAAAGTAAATTTAAATATTAATTCAAATAGTTACAAAAATATAAATTTTTATTATAATTTAAGAGTTATATTTAATACTTAAATACTTATTTATAATTAAAATTTTTAGATTTATAATTATCTAGATCAATATTTTTAACTAATTAAAAAATTATCAAACATTCAATTATTCTTAATTTAATATTTTGGGATCTAGCTGTTATTTTACTTAAACTATATTTTCATGAAAAAAAAAAAACAGATAATGCTAAATGCTTGGGAGCTGGGAAGGGAAGGCAGCGATGACACCCACATGTTCCTTCCCCACTTAAAGCCGGACCAACTTGCACTGAGTAAACTAATTGTAAAAGCCTAACAGCTACATTCAACTCATTAACATATTAATTTAAATGTTATCGAGTTAAATTGTAGCCAAAGACTAAATTGGTCATAAAAAATATTATTAAATCAGTTAAGATATTAATTTGACTTGTATTCACTCTTCCGTGCACGAGGAGAAATAAGAAATAAAATATTTCAACTAAAGATTATTAATTCATGCTAATAAAATTGTTCATTTATGGGAAATTTAAAGTTCTAATTATATCAGAGGAAAAAGCAAATTTACTTCAAGTAAGCAAAATCACCATCTAAATGCATGGTTCAAGAGAGGAATGGATTGCTACTAATAAGCATAATCTAAAAAAACATGCCAACAAATGAAAACTCATTTTAAAGAATTTTAAATTGACTCCGCATTTATAAGCATATTAAATAATACAACTTATTTATCTATTTCATCGATTATCAGTACAAGGGATCCATCACTTGAAAATTATAAAATATCTCTTGATAAATAATATTGATAGTTGTCGATCTTGTATTAGCCCCACCCTTATGCAATGGAATTTCCAAATTTTCCATAGCCTTCACTCTTAAAAGTGTAACATGGAAGGATCTACGTGTAAACACTGGCTTTGAAAGGTGAATTGATTTCCATACAATGCAACCAACCAACGTAAGGCTCCCTCTCCTCAGCCTCATTTCTATTTCTGTCACTAAACAGTCCATTCTCTGTTCACAACAGATATCGTTTTCGCCCCAACATATTCTCCAATTTAACGTCTATTCTCGAATTCTTGAATTTTTCTATCCAAAAAATGGGTATACGCTTTCACTGAAAAACTTTGTTAAATTGGCGGGCTGCTAAGGAGCGATATGATTCTTTTCTTCAGCTTTCGAAGCTCTAACTTCGCTTTCTGGCTCATCCTCTGAGTTGTTCAGGCCTCCAATCACATGCATATGGGAGGGTTCAAAACCATTCCAACCTTTTTTCTCAGCGTTTGGTTCTAAGGTAATCTTCGATACTTTCCTCCTCTTAACTTCTACTTTAGGTCTCTCTGGCTTTCTCCTTTGCATTATTAAATGATTAAATTAGCCATGTGGGTCTTCCCCAACTTATTTATACAACTCAAAGTTACTTCCTTAGAAATTCTGAGCTTGATTCGCTTGGCTCATAGAGTAATGAGAATATTGACAGCAAAAGTATGAATATCTCCGTACCATAGATTTTTAGCCTGAGTAATGGGCATCGCTTTTCTAACCCGAAATTCCAAATTTCTCACAATGGATTGTTCTTGTTTACTGCCGAATCTAGTTCATGGGGGTATGTTTTCCGCCTAAATATGTTATTTCGAATCCTGGGACTCTTTGGTTTTTAGTTGATACAGAACAGGGTATTATTGTGCTGTATTTCTCTTCTTCCTGCTAGGATTTGTTCTTTTCGTGTTCATCTCTCTGCTCCTGAAGTTGTTCGCACTTGCCAGGTGCTTTGTTCTCGGAGGATTTTCGAGTTTTTTCCCCAAAGCGGAGGCCCTTTTGATTGCAAGTTTAGGCCTAATAATTATGGTGAGGTTACTATTCCTCCTGTTCTTCTGTCTCTGGATTTCCACACAAGTGGGGGCTAGAACCGGAAGTATCATTACAAATAAGACTAAAGTACCTTCGAGGCCAAGTGTTGTGAAAATCGGAGCACTGCTTACTTTCCATTCGGTCATTGGAAAATCAGCAAAACCTGCAATTTTAGCTGCCATCGATGATGTTAATAATGATACAAGCATTCTTCCTGGTACTAAAATGGAAGTTATTTTACATGATACAAACTGCAGCGGGTTTCTCGGCACAGTGGAAGGTATTAGCCATAACTCGGACTTTGTAGCAAGATGCTGCTTTTCTTCGTTCAAATTGAAGTCTGATTATATATACATAATATAGTGTAATTATAATTACCGGAAGAACAATTATGGAGGAAATTAAGTTTTCTAAGAAATTCGAGTGTGCACTACTTGTCGAAGATAAGATTATTTTTTTTCTTTTGGTAGAAAGTATAAGTTTGTTGTTATTTCCCGCTAGTCACCTTCTCAGTTATTTTCTCAATATAATTATAATTTGAGTTTTGGATATAATCTTCCTGTCATTTTGGACCTCTCTTCAATCGGATATGTTTCAGTCTGCAAATATATTCAGGTGTATGTTTGCATGTGAAACGTGGGATAGTGCTTATTTCATTTCTGCATAACTTTGTCGAGTTTGAAATAAAGCAGAGTATTCATAAAACATTAAATCTCACCCTGTTTGTGTTGTTATTTTAGTGGACGAAGAATAGGGAATCATTTAGTGAACAATAACCTGAATTTTGGTTCGATTTGAAATCATTGCTGACATTTTAGACGGTCTTTGATTGCTAACGTGCTTTGTGGGACGGAATCTGAGGGATGAATGTTGTAGTTGTCTTGTCTTATTATCTCCTTTGGGTATGTGTATGGAAAGAGATGTAAATGAGCTTGATAGCGTTTCCTGATCATGTAGCTCTGGGGTTGATGGAGAATGACGTGGTTGCTGCTGTTGGTCCACAGTCATCTGGAATAGCTCATGTCATCTCCCATGTTGTTAATGAACTCCATGTGCCTCTCCTGTCATTTGGGGCTACAGACCCTACTCTTGCTTCTCTGCAGTACCCATATTTTGTCCGCACTACGCAGAATGACTATTTTCAGATGAACGCAATTGCAGACTTGATTGACTACTTTGGTTGGAAGGAGGTGATTGCTATCTTTGTGGATGATGATAATGGAAGAAATGGAATTTCTGCACTTGGTGATGCCCTTGCAAAGAAGCGTGCCAAGATCTCTTATAAGGCTGCCTTTACTGCTGGAGCCTCTACAAGTAATATCAGTGACTTGTTAAATGGGGTAAACTTAATGGAATCACGGGTCTATGTTGTCCACGTTAACCCTGATACTGGTTTGTCCATTTTTTCTATTGCGAAGAAAATTGGTATGATGGGCAATGGTTATGTTTGGATTGCAACAGATTGGCTTCCTTCGGTTCTAGATGCATCAGAAGCAGCTGATCCTGACACAATGAATGTCTTACAAGGGGTTATTGCTTTACGCCATCATACTCCTGACACTGATCTCAAGAAGAGGTTTATCTCTAGGCTTAAAAACAGTAAATACAAGGAGGACGCTACGAGCTTTAATTCCTATGCACTATATGCATATGATTCAGTTTGGTTAGCAGCACGAGCTTTTGATGCACTTCTCAATGAGGGAGGAAATGTATCTTTTAGTAATGACCCCAGATTGCATGGCACAAATGGAAGCACGTTGCATTTATCATCACTTCGTACTTTTGATGGTGGCCCACAGTTTCTCCAGAAAGTCCTGGCAATGAATTTCACCGGTCTGAGTGGTCAGATTCAGTTTGACGAGGACAAGAATTTAATTCATCCAGCATATGATATTCTAAACATTGGTGGATCTAGCCGTAGAATAGGTTATTGGTCTAATTACTCAGGTCTATCAGTTTTAGCACCTGAAATTTTATATACAAAACCACCTAACATTTCATCTAGCAATCAACATCTCTACGGTGTGATATGGCCGGGGGAGACTACAACAAGACCCCGTGGATGGGTGTTTCCCAACAATGGGAAGCCACTGCGAATAGCAGTACCAAACCGAATAAGCTATCTGGAGTTTGTTGCCAAAAACAAGAACCCTCCAGGAGTAAGAGGTTATTGCATTGATGTTTTTGAAGCAGCCTTAAACCTGCTTCCATATCCTGTCCCACGACAATATATATTATATGGAGATGGTCATAGAAATCCCAACTACGATGCACTTACGAATGAGGTTGCACAAAATGTGAGTTTATAAATCTTATGGGGGACACTTGAATGCAGTTTTTATTTCTTTGCATATGGTTTTTCCATATAGTCATGATAAGCGTATGATTTCTAAATACAAATGTATGACTTCAATAGTTCAGCATCATTATGATTGGCCCTTTTAAAGATTTTTTTTATACATGTAATATTTTTATTGGAGAACATAATACCCAAGAGATACAAGGAACTATATTTAAGTCTAGTCCAAATTTAAGTTTTGATTTTAATTTACCAATTTTCTTTCCTACAAAAGGAATGATAATATTTGGTCTAACAAGGTTTGGAAATTGACTGGCATGAATTTACTAACTGCTTGGTTCAAATTCTAAAGTTGATGTTTATCTTTTATTTTTCAGAATTTTGATGCAGCTGTTGGAGATGTTACAATTGTCACAAACAGGACAAGGATTGTGGATTTTACTCAGCCTTTCGTGGAATCAGGGTTGGTTGTAGTTGTTGCTGTTAAGGAGGAGAAGTCAAGCCCTTGGTCATTTCTCAAACCATTCACTGCTCAAATGTGGTGTGTCACCGGTGCCTTCTTTCTCTTTGTGGGAGCTGTGGTATGGATTCTTGAGCACCGGCTCAATCATGAGTTCCGTGGTTCTCCAAGGAAACAACTTATGACCATTTTTTGGTTAGTATGTCCAATCTATTATTAGCCTTATTATCTTGAGTCTATTAGAGGACGGTAGAGGTCTCTTGTGGACCTGGCTATTCCTAGTGAGTCAATGACATTGCTTATCCTGATATTTCATGTCATAGCATATTATTTTCTTCTTGTGTTGGATTGCTAGTCGTAATTGAGGTAAATTAATGACATATCCTTGTAGTACTTGAGAGTAATGTAGTGTTTCAAATGTTTGAGCTATATGGCTTATTTTAACATAATAAGTTTCCGTTTTGCAGGTTTAGCTTCTCCACGATGTTTTTCTCACATAGTATGTATTTTTTTACCTTTAGTTTTAATGTGTCGGGTACTTGGTAAAAGCTCTGATATCTTTGCTGTATTGGCCTGATGCAGGAGAAAACACTGTGAGCACTTTGGGGAGGTTGGTGTTACTGATATGGCTTTTTGTGGTATTAATCATCAATTCAAGCTACACTGCGAGCTTGACATCGATCCTCACAGTGCAGCAACTATCATCTCAAATTGAAGGAATTGACAGCTTGATTTCAAGCACTCAACCTATTGGAATTCAAGATGGGTCATTTGCACGGAAGTGCCTGATAGATGATCTGAATATAGCTGAATCTAGGATTGTGACGTTGAAAAACCAGCAGGATTATATTGATGCGCTTCAGCGTGGACCCAAGGGTGGAGGGGTGGTGGCAGTTGTTGACGAGCTTCCTTATATTGAGATATTGATGTCCAAAACTAATTGTAAATTCAGAACTGTAGGTCAGGAGTTCACTAAAAGTGGATGGGGATTTGTAAGTATCTTCATCTGCATATTTATGGTTAAGATTCCTGAAAATTTTAACCATCAGCATTGTTTGGTGTTTAAAATTTATGTTGGTTCTTGTGCTTTAAATGCGCTTAATTGTTGGAACTTCTTTAAGGGGGGAAAGCACCCAAAAGAATGGTGACTTGCGTTTTCTGGTATAACTGAATGAAAGGTTGTGTACTTGATAAATATTTGAAGAATAATTGGCCCCATAAAAACCTTTGAAAGAATCTTAGGAAACATTCTGAACAAGTCTGGATATTGTTTTTCATGTTTTGTCTATGATGACAGGCGTTCCAGAGGGACTCTCCCCTTTCTGTGGACTTGTCAACTGCCATTCTTCAGCTCTCAGAGAATGGCGATTTGCAGAAGATCCACGACAAATGGCTCTCAAAATTTACATGCGCTGCACAAGTCAATGATATTGATTCAAACAAGCTCTCTCTCAGTAGCTTCTGGGGCCTCTTCCTCATATGCGGGACTGCATGTTGCCTTGCTCTGGTCATATTCTGTATCAGGGTGTTCTGTCAATACATGAAATTTATCCCTGATGATGAGGAGGCTGAAGAGAATATTGAGCCAGTCAGAGCTAGAAGGACAAGTAGATCCACTAGCTTCAAGAACATATTTGGTTTTGTAGACAAAAGAGAAGCCGAAATAAAGGAGATATTGAAGCACAAGAATAAGAAACGGCGTCGCAGCCAGAGCGTAGACATGCACTCCAATTATTCAAACAGCTAAGTTACTGTGTGTAGTTTTTGTTGGCCGGTTCCTTACGTGTATTTTTTTCCCCTTAATTCAGCATGAAACTGTGCTGTGAGAATGTCATCGACACTGTAGATTGTCAAGCACTATACGATTTGCTTGTAGAAGCTTGAACTAAAATGTTTTAGGTCTGATCTTGGTTTTAAATAACGGCCTTGGGTGCGGCTGGTCGAGAGTTTTGATCTTAGAAAGAGTGAAAGACATCTTGATTTACCTTGACTGTGAAATCATTTACTAAAAGCATAATACGGAAAATGCTGGGGAGGAGAGTGACTTGTTAGATATTTTCATGGGGAACACGTGTTGATATTGTGTTCTTCTATTCTAAAACGCAAGCTACTATTCCTCGTGTTTTATACATAGGAGAAGAAAAAATTTAATTTTATTTATAAAACACTCGTTAATTTTTAATATGTTTTTTTATATTTTTATTTGTATTAAATGCTTCGAATAAAGATAACAATAATAAAATTTAAAAATATTTGTTAAGAATAAAGATAAAAATTTGTTAAATTTTTAGGTAAAATTAATAAAATTTAATTTTTTTTATTTTAATAAAATATATTAAAAGTAATTTATAAATAAAATTAAAAACTATATTTAATTTAGAAAAGAAAGCAAGAGTGGGGGCGGTGACTCTTCATTGTCGTTTGCGGCGGGACATTAGGAAAAAAAGATTGAGTGGGGTGGCAAGACATTATTGACCAGAGAACGACGCGGGAGAAGAATCTCTCTCTTACTGTCCTTTCCACTCACCACTCATATTATTTCATTAAATAATTTTTTAATTGTAAAATTAGTAAATGGTTAAGATTGAAAAAGTGGGGAGACCGATCTCTCGATATTCCCATGAAATCGTGCCACCTAGCAGGGTAGTTGAATCTGGGGCAGTCAATTTGTATGCTTTCATCTGAGTCTTCATGGTGTGACCTTTCATTCAATATTTTGTCTATCGCATGGTGAATCTACTCTCAACTAGTATTTTTTATTAAAATATGCACCGCATTATTAGTAAAAATAAATATTATTATATTTTTTCAAACTATTTAAATCAAAATCTTATTGTTGTGTTATAAATTAAAATTACTATGAATTTAGTCATTCAACATTTTATCTTTATTTATTGTTTATAAATAAAAAATAGAAAAAATGATAATAAAATTTCTTTAAATTATATAAATAATAATTTAATTTTTTAAAATGTCATAATTTCACTAAATTCTTTAAAATTTTTTAACATTAATGAATTTATATAAATGATCAAATTGCTCTTATTAAAAATAAAATAATCACAAATTTTGTTTAAATAATCATATCTTTGTTTCTTATATTCATAATAATATAACAGCAAATTACAAATTCGCATGTTAAATTTTGATATTATTATAAGTGTTGAAAATAACAGGTAATTATCACAAATTTTGTTTTAATAATCACAACTTTACATTTTGTATTCGCAATAATGCAATAACAAATTATAATTTTACATGTCAAATTTTAAATATTACTACAAGTATTGAAAATAACAAGTACTAACAAGGAGTTTTATTTAAATAATCACAATTTTACTTCTTCTCTTCTCAACAATACAATAGTAAATCACAAGTTCGTATGTTAAATTCCTGATATTTACAAGTGTTGAAAACAACAAATAATTATCATAAGTTTTATTTAAATAATCACAACGTTACTTCTTATATTCGTAACAATGCAATAGTAAATCATAACTTTGTATTTTGAATTTATGATATTGTTACAAGTGTTGGAAATAATAAGTAATAACCATAAGTTTTGTTTAAATAATTACAATTTTATTTCTTACATTCACAATAATGCAATAGTAATTTACAACTTTACATGTCAAATTCTTGATATTTATACAAATATTGAAAATAACAAGTAATAATTACAAATTGTTTAAATAATCATAATTTTAATTCTTATATTCGTAATAATACAACTGTAAATTACAACTTTACATGTCAAATTCCTAATATTATTATAAAAATAATTTAATTATTTAAATAAATTTATTAATGATAGAAAAATTTTTAAGGACTTCAATGATTTCAAAATTCTTGAAAAGCATTGAAGTTGATTTTATTCACCCAGACAAGTTTTAAATGTTTTAATATTCTCTACTCAAACAGTTTTTACTCAACGAAAAAATATTTTCCATTTTTAATAGTTTTTGTTTATAAATAATACAATAAAAATAAAAAATATTTAATAATTAAATTCATAGCAATTTTAATTTAAAACACGAGAATAAAATTTTAACTTAAATGGTTCTAAAAATTATAATAACATTTATTTTACTAATAATGTTGTGTTTTTTTTTCAATAAAAAGTTCCAAAACCGGTTGAGAGTAAATTAACTAGACAAATAACAAAATATTGAATGTCAAGTGATACTGTGGAACCTCAGATATAAACCCAGGAAAATGAAAGAGGTGGGGGGGGGGGGGGGGAGAAGAGAAGAGAGACAATCCTTCGCTTTCAACTCCACTCAACGACCAAAAGGCTTTTCAGGGAATTGCATTAAGCACGAATTACATTAAGCACCGCCTGCTCATTTACTACTTGCCCTTCATTTTAGCGTTATTTGATTTATGCCGTTCATTTAATTTAATTTTTTTTAATATTATATTTATTAATTTAAAAAATATAAGAAATTTAAAATTTTAATATATTTTTTTATTATCAATTTGGTCAGTATAGATTTAATCTAACAGTTTAATTTAATATTAAAAAAATTTATAATTTTATAACTTGATTATACAGATAAACTTTATATAATTCATGTATAATTTAAATGACATTACTTAATATTAAAAAAATTATAAAATTTATAAATTAATTATTTAAATGTATTTTAAATAGTTCAAATTTAATATTTATAAAAAATATAAAAAATTAATTTAAATAGACAGCAGGTATCAAATGAGATTGAAATGAAAGGTCAAAATTGCTGCTGGGCTCGATGAACATACGGTGCTATGATGAGCATCGACTGCGGATGCGCTTTTCAGACTCTCCTGTGAGCATTCACAAAAGAAAAAATTATTTATTTATTCACTCATGATTTTCTATCTGTTTTTACTGGAAACAAGATTGGGCATTGTTTTTCATATGGAGGCTTATTTATTGACAAGAAAACTTTTAAACGGAAAAGAGATATCAAATATGTTTGTAGAGGTGTGAAACATGAAGCAGAGCACAAAAATCCTACATTTGGAGCCTTGTCGAATTTTCCGGTCAATCGTTTCCCGTTAAGACAGTGAATTTGAAGCCAAAAACTAAAAAAGGTCGTTGTAACTGAAATCATTTAAATTTTCAAATTAATAAATTGTAATTGATATCACCGAGAGAAATCAGAGAATGGGATCCTGAAATTCCCAAACTACCCCGCATTTCCAGCATATCAGAGCGTCCCGAGCTCGGCTTTGCTTTTCCTATGGCCGAAAACAGGCTTGAAGAAAAGCTTTTTCCTCACCTGAACTTGAGGCCATCCTCTGAAACCCAAAGCCATGGCTAAGGTTTGCCGGATAATGTCTCATTTCACCCTCAGTAATCGGATCGAACACCGCATTTCCGGTCTCCGGCGACGCATCCTCCGCCTTCTCCACCACTTCTTGCTCTGTTCCGGAGGGAAGCCCTCCAAGTACCTCATGCTACCACATTTCGCCGAGCATTCTCCTCCGTCTCTTCCGCCTTCCTCCGCCGGAGAGGCTACTCACGTCAAATCGGGGCAGGGCTCGCTGCCTGAGTTTCACACCCCCGAATCGGATTCCGATTTGGTTGCTCTCAAGCTCAGCCTCCTCGGGGACTGCCAAATTGGAAAGACCAGTTTTCTGGTTAGTCTCTACCTTTTCTCTTTTTAACAAACGAAACTTAAGAACAAGAAAACTCGCAACAATATTAGTCAGAACCTTTTGCGTGGAACCACTAATTCATAGTTTTGTTCTTTTGTAATGAATTGCTATTTTGTTGTTGTTTGAAGGTGAAATATATAGGGAATGAACATGATCAGAGAAGCCAAGAGAAGAAGGGATTAAATCAGATGGATAAAACTTTAGTCGTGGAAGGGGCACGTATATCGTATTGTATCTGGGAAGTAGAAGGTAAAGAAAAGCTAGTGCCCATAACATTGTGGCTGTTAATTTTGGCATAACTTGTGAGAAAACCCCAAAAAAAATCACTGAAATGTAATTTTTGATTGATAATCAAGGAGGTGGTGGAAAGTCACAGCATCAGATTCCATTGGCTTGCAAGGACTCCGTGGCAATCTTGTACATGTTTGATCTAACAAGCCGATGTACTTTAAACAGGTAGCTAGCTTGTTTAAAGTTTTGATTAACTGATGATTATTAATCATGTTTCGTCTGGCTAAAATTGTTTCAGTGTTTTTTTGTTTCCAGCATTCCGAAACTCTTGTAATTTTCTGGTTTTCCTAACTCCTTGGTGTGGGTGTTTGAAACAGTGTGATCGGGTGGTACAAAGAAGCCAGGAAATGGAATCAGGTAAAATATATGAGACATGAAGTGCAAAATTCAGTTGCAAGTATGATTGAAGGAGTCTTACTTATTTTAATAATGTGTATTTGCTCTTGAAGACAGCAATTCCAGTGATGATAGGAACCAAGTTTGATGATTTCATTCAACTTCCCATAGATTTGCAGTGGACCATCGCCAATGAGGTAAGTACTTCATTTATTTTTCGGCATTACAACGACAAAATAGTTTCCAATAATTTTTTTTTAAAGAATAATTTGGCCACGGACATGAAGAGAGAACAAATTTATATATGTTTCTACAACCTAGAGGGCAATCATTAATGATAACTTCCAGTATTTTGATTATCTTTCAAACTTCTTAAAAAAGTTTCTATATTTTTATATTTTTCTTTTGATAAAAAATATAATTTAATTATATATAAAAATTATAATTTAAGGATTTCTTATAGAAAAATTATGATATAACTAAATGTTTTTAATATCAACAAACAACGGAAATCTTAGTCAGGTTTCGTTCTATAAAGTCTTTATAGAAATTAAAAATATTTTTTGGCCTGTAAAAATTAAATTCGAGTTATAACAACTCCATTTTATAACTATAATAAATAAGCCACTTCCTTATATAACCGATCGATCTTCCAATAAAGAGAAGAAACGTAACTAAAGATTCCTTCTTGAAAACCCACGTTAGAAACCTAGAGAATCACCCGTGCTATTGGAGGTCTTAAGAATCTAGATCTTCTCAATTCATGAGAGAGAGAATTGAACGAAGAAAAGAATCTGGTTGAGTTGTATCACACATGGTGTGCATGTGGAGTAGGGAAAAAAGATGAAGATTGAGATAAACAGTATCCAATTTGATTGCTTAGTATCGCTTTCTTAAAGGTCATGCTTCGAAAACACGCTTCTCTGGTTTTAATGCTGCATTTGTAAGTCAATGGAAGTGGTAGGCTTCTGGACAATAAATATTGGACGAGGACAAACTTTACAGAATCTCCAGAGTCCAAAGCAAGAATTGATGTATTTCAGAGTATAATGACGATGCATTTTTAATTGTGCCGCAGGCAAGAAGATACGCAAAGGCCATGAATGCAACACTGTTCTTTTCCAGTGCGACCTACAACATCAACGTGAACAAGATCTTCAAGTTCATCACAGCCAAACTGTTCGACCTGCCATGGACACTGGAACGGAATCTCACTGTTGGTGAGCCCATTATAGATTTCTAGTCTGTACATACAAATGTGGTTCAATCTGTTTGTATTTTCTGCTCAAGTCGTCAAAGCCAACCGGCCACGAGAAGCCGAAGCATCTCCCTCGCGGCATTCGAGTTGTTTAGTTTTGCATGAGATAAACCAGAAATAAGGCAAGTCTCCCTCCCTCCTCCACACCCCTATGCACGGGGATGATATTTGCACTATCATCACTTTTGTCAATTACACACGAGTTTTACAGTTGAGGTGGGGAATCAAATGAATCCTAACCAACTCACTAGTAGTAGTCGCTCTCACTAGGTGCCTCATACTGATTTCTACTGACCCCACCTCGCAAAATCTTATATAACCAAGAAACAATTGCAAATTCAGAATCTAGACTAACCAAACAAGAAGCATGGCATAGCATGTCTGTTTTCGAATTTCATTGGTCTCATCAAGTTTCCGAAAGTTTATCTTCATGTTAGCAGAAGTTGACATTTACGGACCACAAGAAAGCAACAAATTGCAAATTCTGATTCTGAATGCACCCGTCTTTGCGGAATCCTTACTGCAATTAGGTGTATGGCTATGCAGATTCCTCACTGCAATAGCCGAAAGTCACAAGCAGTGCAAACTTTTAAAAATACCCGACGATGTGGAGAGAAAATTTATATGGGCACGGGGCACGGCCTAGCCATGGATTTATAAATATTGTGCTGTATGTCGAAACTAAAAGCAGAGGACAATTTCAGTGTGAAGGCAAGTAATTATTCTGATATCAGATCACCTGATGTTTACTGTTGTTGAGTTGTTGGTTAAGTAACTAGCAAGAAACTCGTGCGCTGTAAGGGTTTTCAATTTTAAATTTTGTTAAATTGTAAAACCAAAAGGATACTTAGTTCCATGCTATGGTATAATCCAGTGGAGTGCAAAGAACACAATTGAAACATGTTATTGGGATGCAAAAACAGTGTTTCATTAAAAGATCGATATTAAAAAAATTGAAATTATGTTAGAAGAGGAAGCATCTTTATGTGAAAATATCTTATCCGTGGCAGAATTCAAAGGGAAGCCTCCTGGATAAGCTTGACTGTCTGTCACTGCTTAAAAGATTTACCAAATTTACTATTCATTCCGGCCACAGCCCCACAGACAAATAACGGGGCATGTTTACCTAATTCTTGTGTTGCTCTCACGAAATGATCGAAAAAGCGGGAAAGATTGAAATATGGCCATACAACGGTTCAAAACTCCATGGCAAGTTATGGGCCCCAGCAGATCCTGTTCTTTCTTCGGGAAATCATTTCTCAAACATTAAAAAAATATTTAGTGGCTGACTTGGCTTCATCAGAATCCTTTATCACAGAGGAGAGGATGGCAATCCTCTTCCAATGGTGAAATGAGTCGCAATACCCGTCATTGGAATGCCACTTGCCCCTTAACAATACAATACGAAGACTGAAGTGAAGAATAAAGCTGCCTTCCTTAGCCGAGGGAAAGAGACATTAGAGAGGCTTCTTGGAGAATGTTGCAATCTTTCTACTTCACACTTAACTACCCAGCCTTCCTCGTCCGACCCTCCGCAAGTTGGCCACTATCTCAAGATTGGCAAGCCCCATTTGACTTGTCTTTAGTGGCCTGGTTCAATAAAATTCAATTGAGTATTGTATCAAAAAAAAAAAAAAAACTTTGTGGGATTTAGTGGTAATGCTGTGGTCTGACTGTATATTTGGGGTCTGACTAACTCTTTCCAAGTATTATTAACAGTGAACAATTTCCAGACTACATTTTTAGTTTTTTGGCCTAATAACTTTTTTCCCTCATTTCTCTTCATGCATTTTGCGTTTCTTCCATGCCAATATATTTATGCTCCTCGGCCTTTGCCCATAAAATTGCATGGATATACTGTTGGAATATTTATTTATTTATGAATTAACATTATTTAATAAGTCCAAACAGATTGGTCTTTATGATCTTGTGTGGACCGTGATAGGAGGATCACACAAGTGAGCCCAATGGGACAGAGGCCCAACCCACAATCCAATAGCCGTCAGTTATTCTCTATCTCTTAACTAACTGAGTTAGAGATAATGAAATATATAATTATTTATTATTTAACAAGGCGATTACCGATCTGATCTATATAAGACGATTAGTCGATAACCGCAAGACACACAACTCATTTCTTTTACTTTATTATCTCTGAACTCTCTGAAGGCTCTGGAGACCTGTGAGTTGTGCACTTGTCTACACTCGAGGTAATCGAGATTTCTCTAGCACTCATAAATTCTTCATATACGTATTAATTACTTTATTCTATCATATTTTATTATACATATGAATTGAGATATTGAGAGTTTACATATACATTATCTCAGTATGTCGATAGTTAAAAATAATAGAAAGAGATGATTGTAAAACCACAATGTTCACATGTTATCACTCAAGAATTAGGTGCCAAATATCTGCAGGTCAAAATATCTGCTAGTCAACGTTAAACTTAGGTGTGAAATTCACTGCCAAGCTATAGGTTGGAAGACTTCACTACGAAAAAAATGCAGACGGAGTCTTGGCTCATTTTCTGAGAAATCTGAGGGGAAGAGGAATTTGTAAGAGAGGCATTTGGAAAATGGGTTCTGTGGTAAAAGCGGTAGACGTCGTTCTGTTCTCTTACATGCTCGTAATAGCACTGGCATGTCCACTTATATACGCTCAGATCCTTTTCCCACAAACTCTCTACCCTCGTTTCCTTGTCCAGCTCAAGAACTGGTACATCCGCGAGTATGATCACTATCTGATGATAGACCAGCCACATTTCTTCGTTGGACTCGTTTGCTATGAGTTCATCTTTCAATTGCCACTCATTCTTCTCAATTTATACGCCATTTTGACGGCCAAACCCTGGTTCAAAACCACTTGCTTGATCTACGGCGTTACATTGTCTTCTGCTATGGTATAAGCAGCAGTTTTATATATAGTGTATTCGTACATCTGGATGCAAGATCTGGTTTTTCTGTGTTATCATTTTTTTCTGATTGTTTTTGTAATCTGTGCGTTTCAGGTCGCGATACTATCAGAAATGGTGGGTTCAAAAAGGGCATCTCCTAAGCTATTGACACTGTACGTCCCTGTCATGGGTTTAGGAGTGTTAGCTACTCTGCGAGGTTTGCTATCTCATTCTGAATCCGACAAGAGCCCAAGAATGTCCACCAAAAAGCGAGTTTGAATGAAGTTGAAGTAATTGTTTTCTCTTGTAAGATTTGAAAAGGAGCAACACGATTTGAAAGGTGGGAAGCATTGTATTGTATGTGAATGATATGTCATGGCCTTTCTTTTGTTCTGCTGTGTTGATTTCTGGTGTATTAGGTTGTTTGGATTTGTCTAATGAAGTATTTCCCATCTTTTCTGAACTCCATCTAGCACCAAACGAGAAAGGAATTACATTATTCCATGTCTTAAGGCTCGACTTGATTTAATTGGCATGGAAAATGATTTGGGTAAGTGGTAACCACCCGGCCTCCAAATGTGATGTGTCAGATGGCAGACTTTTATTGCTTCTCAAGTTTGAAACTATGGCGATAGAGCCCTCAATTAGGGAAGTTCCAAAAGATTCATAACCGAGCCATTAGTTTAGAGTATAAAATAACAAATTTGGCTTAAAAGGGTCCTTTAAGCCTTAAAATAAAAGTACCAACCCTTTTAAATCCTTTAATAATTTTTTTGAATTTTAATAGTAAAAAAATTAAATATTATTCTAATTATAAAACCTTAGCCTCATTTTCACGAGGATAAAGAAATAATATATAAAAAGCTTGATATTTTTTTTACTAATGAGACTTCACAAGAGAAGGATTAAATTATATTAATGTTGATAATAATAAAAATTATCAAGATTTATCTGATGATATTAGTAAAGTCTAATTGTTATCGATGTTGATTTTATGATATTATTTTATATTAGACTTAAATTTATTTTTTTATGTATGGACTTGAATATGTTTTTCTAAACTTAATATTATATGTAATAATTTTTGAGATTTTAAATATATATTTTTATATTTTTAAATTAAAAATAAAAAAATAGGGCCAAGGCCTTGAACGCCGTCCTTCAGTCTTGAGGGTCAAGGCTAGGCTAACAAAAATAAAGTTTTGAGATATAATTAAGCTTAATAGAGCCAGCCCATTTAAGCCTTAGTCCTTCAAGAGCTGGCTTTATTCGAAAGCTTTATGTGGTAATGATGCAATGAAGAGATCAAAATCCTTGAATTGTGAGCACAACATTTCAAGTTATTGTCCTGCTTTCATGGAGATGACACCTATTTTAAAAACCTAACTGGCCCAGATCGTTTAAAGAAAAAAGTGATATAGTTCAATCATTTGGTTTGTTTTAACAGTTGGCCCCAGTTGGCCACTTTGACTTGGGTGATTCTTGAAAATTTAGAGAAAATCTTAGAACTTGTAATGATTTAGGTTTTATTTGAAACTATTTTTATTTGATAGGAAAATTAATCATTTAATCCTTGTAGTTTTGGCTTATTTGTAACTCAGTCTTTGAACTTTAACTCATTATAACTCAATCTTTATAACTATAATTCGGTTGTAACTTAATTTCTAAACTTTTTCTCTTATAATTTAATCCTTATAATTTCAACCATTTAAATATTAGTCCCTATATTTTAAAAAATAAAATTATAAAGATTAAAAATATTTTAAACATTTAATTTTTACAATATTAGTACTAAAATTATAGAGGTTAAAATTATTATAAAATTTATTACTAATATAAAAGGGTTCGGTGATTTAAAATATTAGCAATAAATTTTAAAATAATTTTAATCTTATAATTTTATTGCTAATATTATAAATATTAAAAAATAAAATAAAATAATTTTAATTTTTTAATATTTAAATATTATAAATATTAAAGGTTTAAAATATTTTTAATCTTTATAATTTTATTTTTTAAAGTATATGAACTAATATTTCAGTGGTTGAAATTATAGAAATTGAATTGTAAGAAGCAAAATTTAGAGACTAAATTATAACAGAATTAAAATTATAAAAATTAAATTATAATAAATTAAAATTTAAAAATTAAGTTATAATTTAATCAAAATTACAGGGATCAAATGATTAATTTTTTTTATTTTATTGATACAAGAGTTGGTGTTTTGTAAAACATGTTATGAAAATAAAAAAATAATAAAAATAGATATTTTTATATTCTCTCTTATTCTTTAGAAAAATAATCTCAAAACACACAAAAAATGTTTTTAATTTTCTATTCTCCAAAACAATATTAAATTTTTTTATTCTTCAAAATACTTTCTAAAAATACAATACCAAATATTTTTTTTATTTTTTATTTGTTATGGAGAACATAAAATTATTCCTAGAACAAGTTACTAAACAAGCCCTTAATTTTTTTGACTCATTCTGTTATCTAAATATAATTTTTAAATAATTATATCACCAATTAGATCATTAGTTTAACTAATTAAATTATGAAAACTATGATCTGCTGACTTTTTTGATTTATCATCTAGTTCAATTTTTAAAACATTGAATGATATCAAGAAATGATGAATTTGGCACATATTGAAGCCATGGAACCAAAGGAGTGAATTTTGACGCTCATCGTTAATATGAGACTTGGTCGTCTAAAATTAAGCAACATAATAACTGCTGTGAGATTATCATTATTTTAATTTTTATATACAAGTTAAAATAATATGTTTATTGAAACTATAAAAAATAAAATTATAAAAAATCTAAATTATCTAGTTTTAATATGAATAATCTAAATTGGAGTCACGAGTACCAAAATTTGTTTTCGTTCAGAGTTTTATTGTGTTTCTCTCCACTTAATGTATTACTCAGGGTGCTCTGGCTTTATAGAGCCCGTTTAAATTTTAATTGAGTATTAATTAATTATGTAATATAATTAATTTTAATTATGATTGATTATATTAGAATATAATTTATTTGAATATTTGTGTTTTGAAAGTAATTTTAATATAATTGAAGATGTTTGGATGATTTATTTAGAATCAATTTTAATGTGTAGATTATTATAAAAGACATTACTTTTTAAAATTAAATTATTAATAAAATTGTATATAATATTATTAATTTTGTTAAGCTTTATTTAAGAAGCAAAATATATTATTTAATTTATATATCCAATTAATTATAGAAATTTAAATTATATTAACATTAACAATTTAACTCATGTAAATAAATAATTTAATATATCTAAGTGCAAATAACTTTCAATAAAAGAGAAGGATACATTCTTAAATAATACAGATTAATTTTACACTAACTAATTTATGAAGATATTCAGATGCTTTAGTTATAAAATGTAAAATATTGATAAAGTTGTATACAATATTATTAAATTTATCGAACTCTATTTAACAAATAAAATATGTATAATAGTGATCTATTTAATATTTATATAATTATTTAACATGCAATTATATATTAATTAATTATAAATTTAGATTACATTTTAAGGTAATATTAATGACTTAATTTCTGTAAAAAAATATATATTTGGTGACGGAAGAGACGGAGGGAGGAACAGTGGGGCAGCAGCGCATGAGGAACACTAACGAGAATAGAGAGAGGATATGAGGGAGGAGCATTTGTGAGGGGTATATGTGGCAAATCAATATTTTGACAACTACTAAATCCTGGTAACTGTAAAAACTAGAATTGATAAGCAAGTGCTGCTAGCTTCAAGTAAAACATGATTATAACCTAAATAATATTATGAAAAAATGGGGCTCTTCGGGTAAATTTTACTAAAATCAATTATTTTGTCCCAAAAATCTATTATATGATTTATCCAAACAGGTTGATAGTCTATGTGATCAGAATGCTAATTTTTTTTTTATATGATAGCTAAATTCACAATTATAATTAGTAGTATAAAATTATAATTATAAATTTATAACAGCAATAATGCTCAAATTTAAATTTAATTTAACAGAACAAAACCGATAGTTGTACAAAAGTAAGCTCAGGACAATTTTTTAAATATACATAAACCACACCACATTACCTATTATCTGGGGTCGTGACTTCAATACTCATCACACTAATAAGCATTGACCACTTGGACTCGGATTTTGTTTTGATTGTCCATATTTAAAGTATTATTTTATTTTAATATTTATTAAAATAAAAATTTTAAAAATTATAAAATAGTTTTAATAATTTTTTATTTTTATTTTAATTTAAATTTAATTTAGATGATATAATTTAATATTAAAAATTTTATAATTATTATATATTTGCTAGATATACTATATACAATTAATAGATCAAATTAAAAATAAAAAATTTATTAAAATTATTTTTTAATTTTTAAAATTTTTATTTTAATAAATATAAAATAAAATAATATTTTAAATTTAATTGATCCACATCTTATTGGAAGAGTGATTTCTTCCTTTTACCTTTCATTTTTTTTATCCCCACCATCTATTAATTTAATAATTAAAAAATTATTTAATAAAATAACTTAATGGAGGGAAAAAAAATGATGTCCTCCTAGGTCTGATCACCGTATGCGGACCCATAATTTGGAGAGAACATTATTTTTAATATTTAAATGATACACTTTTTTAATAATTTTTGTTACCATCCATGTATGTGGCCTCTCAAGATCCCTGTTCTTCCACATTCCATCGCTCGCTCTTCCCACCAAACCCCTGATTCGAGAAAGCTCGGGCCAAAGAGGGAAGGAGAATAAGCTTGAAATGAAATGGGTTTCGTTGTTAATCTCATAGACCTCACTCTGTTCCTCTTCTTCCTTGTTATAGCGCTCGCAGCTCCACTTATCGACGCCCAAACCCTCCTTCCTCACACTTACTTCCCACGTTTCTTTGTCGACCTCAAGAATTGGTACAGCAGCGAGTATGGCGACTTTCTTGTGGCCGAGAAGCCCCATTTTTTTGTCGGGCTCGTTTGGCTTGAGCTGCTCTTTCAGTGGCCGCTTGCTCTTCTCAATCTTTATGGGATTTTGGCTGCAAAGCCTTGGTTTGGTACCACTTGCTTGATCTATGGTGTCTCTTCGTCTACTTCCATGGTATGTGTTTTCGCTTCTTCTGCTCATTATTTATTCTTTAAACATGACATCGAACGAATCGGAATTTTTGTTTGAGATGAGACTTACTTGAAGGGTGATTCTAATACCATGGATGCTCAATTTTTCTAGAATTTTGAGAAGATCTAAAATATAACAAATTGATGTTGCGTGGTCTGTCTCTTTGCACAACTTTATTTTCTATGTTTGCTCCGAAGATGATATCGATACTACTAGTGTAATAGCCATAGGCCTCCTTGATACTCCTCTGTTCTATTTATAGGGCGGGGAGAAATAATGTTTGTTTTGGTTTTATTTATAAGATATTTTAATAATTATTATGTTTTTTTTTTATCATTTTATCCTTATTAAAGGTTGGAACCTTATTAAATGTTAAAGTTTTTAATTTTAAAGTAAGTATATTTAACAAGAGTAAAGTTAGAAATTTGTTGAAATGATAGATTTAATATTTTTCTTGATCTCATAAAAAATATTGAGAGTGATTTATAAATAAAGTCAGAGCTGGTATTTTGTTTGGATTTCGAACCCGGCAGTATATCTGTTTCTCAAAAGATTGATTGTTATTGCTTAATCACCTTGATGAAATTAGAACAAAATTTAACTTTCCGAATGCTAATTATATAAAATCACCTTTGAACGAAACAGATTGACACTCGTCTTGTTTTGGGAGGATCAGAATCAATATAAAACGCAGGGGAAAACAATTACCAGTAGTTATTTGGTATCAAAAGATTAGTGCGACATATTTGTTGTTCTCTGTTTGCGCCATCGGGTGAGTCGTTATCAGAAATGATATGAATTGTGTCAAATTCCTGTGTCCCAAGGGAATTTCTGTTCATCGTAGTTGAGTTGGCAGACTTGAGGCCGTCTTTGCCTGTTTTAGATCAGAGACAGTTTTGTGAGGGATAAATTTGGTCTACTTCAGGATATCTTGCATTTTTGCATGCTTTTATTGGCTATTGCGAATGTTTGGTCTCTCTGTGCTCATCTGAAAGAGTTATCGCTGTTCAAAATCATTGCTAACACGCAATCACGCATACTGTCTGCGTATCTCACATGGCGATCTTGATATGCCAGTGTCGCAGAAGAGTTATCTTGTCCCCAAAGCGTTGTTTGGTGATAATTCCCCCATGGGATTAATTCCTAGAGTTGCAAAATCAAAATTATTGGCGATTATTGTTGAACTCAAACTAGCTTCTTCTTCTTCTTCTTTTTTTAATCTCTAGTCCTCTAGACATGTTCTTGTTTTCAACAAGGTCTCAACGTGTTGTCGTGAAGGCCGTATAATCAATATTTTTCTCAATACCAATGAAAATATGGTCTGCAGGAAAGAAACTAATTTTTCACAATACGATAAACTTAGGTATAAATCCCCGCTAAGACTGCCAAGACAGATGTCTAGAATGATATGTATGCATGATAAAATACACACACACACCCAACAGTCATTCCAAATACATTTTCTGCATGTAGCTAAGTAGCTTGCAGCCCTTCTGCTTCTATGGTTACATTTTTCGTTCTGTAGTTCAATTAATAGATGTGTCTTTTAAAATTGAATCGAAGCGGTTGCCTTCCTTATGAAATACGTTAGGTTGAGACAGAATATTAACCCCAGCCATACAATTTGATACGGATTGACCCGGGAGTCACTGATTTTTGTTCTTCCCTTAAATGATATTTGGTTGAAGCTCGTAGCCACAGGCCATAATTGAAAAAAATCTTTCTTAGCAAATCCTAATTAGTAATTACCACATAATCATTAGATAAATAATAGGAATACTAATAATAAAGGAAGTTAAAATAAGTGATGGGAGATAAAGTTCTTCCATTTTCAAATGCCTGGAATGGGACAAAAGGTGTGATATGGGGCATGCTTCCCAATATCAACTAGTATTTCTGAAACACACATATATAACAATTGAAGTAATAAGAGAGTCAACATTGAAGCTAATTAATTGAAAACCCTACTTACCAAAAAACTAACTAATTCTGTCTATGCTTGCAGTCTTTTGGAATTCAAGAACACAGTTAATTCAGCTTGCTGGGGAAAGTCAATTCCCGAACCTTAATCCCTCTGAGCACTCTTTTTTTAAGGGTTCTAAGAAGGAATCATGCAAGGTGCGTTCTTGACTTCACCTCATTCTTCTATATACGCTCCCACCACCACCACCCTTTTCTTCTTCTCTTCTCTTCTCAACTGCAAGGCTCAACATAACACAGCAAATTACCACATAGACTCAGCAACGGTACGCCGAGTCAGTAATACACAACAAAGAAGAACAGCTTACCAGGCTTTTATTAATTAGCCTAGAGCAGTATAGCTGAAGATCAGGCAGCTTCACAAGATAAAGAAGCCTTAATTCTCTCAACAGTGCAGGCAATAAGGTTATTGACAGTAGCAACAGATCCGAGTGAGAGCTTAGCGGTGGGAACGGAATCGACCAAGATTTGAAAAGCAACGGTCAAGAGGGATCCACCATGGCCTGTTTCACCAATGCCACCTCCATGAGCTGTGGTACCATCGGGAAGGATAGCAAACCCAGAAGGAAGAAGTGCCACGTAGTCGGGATCCCCTCCATTCAGAACTACGTTCATGGCCACTACATCTACAGGAGCATATATGACGAAAGAGCCCGTTGAGTCCGTGCAGCTCTCTTGCAGTATCAACATGTTGCTCTGGCTCGAATTTGCACTCTACAAATATTACAGCAATTTGATTCATGTAAGGATTATTCCCTTGCAGAAAAATAATTTCTTTCTTTTATAAAAGGAGACGAGCTTACATTCACTCGAAGTAGCGACACACAGTTGCCTGTATCTCGTCCGTTAGCTATGTGTGCCATTTCTTGGACCTCCCCACCGTTGGAAAGAATATCCCACTGTCATGTCAATATGATATCCCTCAGAATTAATTTCAGTAAAGTCCATTGATTCGGAAATGGAACAGATCAATACAAGTAATGTAGCGAACGCAATTACCTCACTTCTGGAGTTCTCATCGCGGAGGAAATCAAAAACTCGCTTGGGAGGAACAGGAAGCCAAAAAGAGGTTGCAGCGCTGAGAACAATACCAGGAGGTCTTCCCGGGTCATCCACGCTCTTTCGGGTCATGACCCGTACATCATCCGCCCGGTTCCAGAGAGAGTCGTCCACGTGTGAGCAGTGGAAGCGCTAACTCCAGCACAGAAGCTTATCACCATTCTCTCGGCCAGCTTCAACATACTCCTCCTCCCATCTGGGCTTGTTATCACTAATCAGACAACGACAAAGATTATTTATATGTTATTGTCAACTCAAAACATTACACCAAGAATCTTAATACCTCCAACGTCACCGGTGGGAATGTTGGAAGCCATGGCACTAGCAAGCCTTTCGCACTGTCGATCTAAGGTCGCGATCCATCGTTTTGCGCCAAATGCGTGGCCTGAACTAACAAGCTGCTTGTATAGACTATGTACACCTCTATCATCCACTTCTACATGTTCAATCCACGTCACCTAAGGCACCAAAACAAACGAATGACAAAACAGCAAGCCCTTCAGAGAAGATCAGATCCCACACATGTCAGTGTATGTATATAAATCATTCCATACTGTGCGTACCTTAGAGTAGCCGTTGGGCATTTCTTGGATTAAGCAACCAGAAGGTCGTCTTCTGCATTTGACAGGAGCAGTGCTAAGATGGTCCAAAGAGACGTCCACTACTGCCCATGTACCGTCAGCGTGCTGCTTACAATACCTCACGAAATAACTCTCTCGAGTTGGCACTAGAGGTGAAGGCACTTGCAACTCTGCTGTCATCTGCAAAATGGTTTCCAACTTTTTCATATATCTTTACGTACGTATACGATGTTTGTTTTTGGCATTTAGTACCGTGCTTACCACTTGCAAGGCACCGTTGTAGTTCCCAGCCACCCCCGTTGATAGTACTTCCATAGTCATTGCTCTTGAGACTATACCAGAGAACACTGTCGACCATTGGTTCTGAACAAAATATTTGATAAGATCTTAGTGAATTATATATAAGCGAGACTTGAGTAATGTTAATTGAGTGATTGCTACTAAGTCATTTAATAGAAACATTCCATGTGTTTTAATACTTAAAAGAAACCCATGCCTATGGGGTTGTTACTGATTATTATATATCATTTTTATCATAGTTAGCTTGGAATTGACGATCAAGTACACACACCCAAAACAACTCATGGTAAAAATGCAAATCGCAGAAGCCATCGGAAAGCAAACAGAAATTAAAAGGCGTACCACATCCATGAGAATCTCGACAAGGCTGATGTGATTCATGATGACGAGTGCAGTTTCTCGTGAAGCTTCGCATTTCAAGCCACCGGGTTTAGGGCCAATTCCTCGAGGAAAGGACCTCATGTATTCGTCTTCATTGAGCACAGTCGTGGAGCCATCGAGGGTTGTCATCCAAAGGGGCTCACCCATCTGAGCCATTCTCACGAGTTCTTCCATAGCCGCAACGGCAAGCTCTATTATCATCGGCTTATCGGCTTCGGTGAGTCCACTTATCGACCTCAAAAGATCTCCGGCTCCTCCGTACATGTCCCCACCACCAATCCCTGCCTGTCCACCATAACTACCACCCACTCCGAGCTCTAAGGGACGTGGTGGAACTGAAGATGGAGGAAGTAGCGGATAGTTCACCACTGGCTTCCCCACGTACTTGGCAGCAATTGCTGAAATTCTATCAATCTGGTCATCAAGGCAACAAATTCAAGAACCCTTAGATATAACTACACACTCCCCATTGATTTTTTGTCAAGAGATTATTGTTCATAAATAATCTATTTCTTACCAAGTGGCTGGGCCTGGAAAATATATTTTTCAAATTGCTTTCAATAATCATTTGAAATTCGTGTAATATAGTAATATAGTCTCGCATCTATTTTCATATATTTCTTTCCTATGTTGGGCACCAATTAATTTAAGGTAAAATTTGGTGTTTGACAATGATGTCTGAATCAGCAAAAACAGGGAATTTTGAAGGAAAATAAAACGAGTAAATTTTTAATGATTGAACTGTGGAATTAACTTTTTTTGAGAAGATATATAGCCCAGCAGTTTCTAGACACAGAAAAATTTGAAGGCGAAGAAGTTCTACTATATTGGCAAGAAATTATTGCACCTCTTCTCTCAGGCGGGCATTTTCGAGTCTCAAATGATGCTCGTCGAAGGACATTTCTCCTATAGCGGTTGGTCCACCACAGTTAGGACAGGAGGCATTGCTAAGAGCTTCTCTGTACCTCATGTTATCTGCACGAAGCTTTTCATTTTCGGCTCTGAGATGTGAGTTCTCATGCCGCTCATGTTGGTTCTGCAAATCATCACATATCTTTGTGAGCAACTCGGTAAAGGAATGATATTTTGCACCGAATCAACATATAAAGTACCTTCATCTGTGTGCGCTTGTTTTGAAACCAGAACTTGACCTGCAGTGGCTCCAACCCTAATTCACGACTCAGCTCCTTCCTTTGCTTGTCATCGGGGTGAGGGCACTCCTTGAAGAAACTGCAAAAAAGTCAAATACGATATAAAAATTAGTATTGAAATCGAACCGATACTAGTCGTTTATTGGAGTTATAGCTTAATCTTACGCTTCCATTTCCTGGATCTGGTGCTGGGTGTGGCGGTGGTAGCGCTTCTTCTTGGGACGAGGGTCTTGGTCGTCGCCGGAGGCTCCATTTTCCTGGTTTTCGCTTCCGGACTTGGTGGCGGTGTCGAAGTCGTCGTCTCGGATTCGGGGGATGTCGCTC